GATCACAACACAACACAAAATTGATTTACATCACACACAAAATTTACTTTATATCACCACAACAAAACATCGTCCCTGCTCCGGCCAAACTGGTATATTGCTATTTTAGTATGATTAGCATTACTGCTATTACGTTACTCAGAAGTTAATCTAGAATAGGCAGATCGTAATATTTTACCCCTTCCTACATAAACCTGCAGGTGGTACATTTCATGGGTGGACAATATATTATTATTTTATTGAAAAAAGCTAATATAATACATTTTCCTATATAGAGGAACTATTTTTGATTTATATATTACTTTAATTATATTCTAAAATTTATAGATCCCACAGGTGATACAGACTCGAATACTTGAAGCCTTGTAAATTATAGTCGTCTGACTGGTAGGGAAACTGTGTCTGGCTGATCTTTTCCCATCATTGATTAGCATCGTCTATATGCCCATTTTTTTGTTTCGAGAATCTTCTAACCATGCTTTATGTTTATACCACCAGTCACTAATTAGTTGACTATGGGATTTTATGGATTTTATGTCACGTGGTCCCAACATGTCCTTTCTAACAAAATACCTAAAAATGCGATTTTCTTCAGTATTAAGATAATATTTGGGATTCTGTGTCCATTTTATCATGATAGGCCATTCAAATGTACCAGAAAGAAGTACATAACCTTCTTGTTGTAATAATTTTTTAACAGGTTCAAAGCTTAACCAATTTAATCAGCACGCTAATTGATTTTGTTTTTCTTCTGCCCAAGTTCTAGCACCATATAAGGTATACCCATATAGTACATTAAAATGATCGATTTTTATGTTAAATTTTATTAGTTCCCTATTAATATAATAAAAATACTCATCACGAGGAATAATACCTAAATACTTCTATCTATTAGGAGTATCATTATTCCTCATCGCCTCCCAAATCTGTTTTGCCAAAGATTCAGGTCTCTTCTTATAATTCCTATAAGCTCGCTGGATAACTGTTGCATAGAAATTTTCAAACTGATAGTTATATTGTTTCACAATCAAGAATCCCCAATATCGCTTCATTGGTCTTCCTGAAATACTACTTCACTATAATAGTTATACAATATATTAGAGGATCTAACCCAAAATAGGCAGATCACATTTTTTATTTTGCAGGTGGTACCATTTCATGCATGCAGATTATATAGCGCAAAAAATAAAGAATAAGTTATACATTGCACCTTTGGCTAAATGATACTAATCTTCAGTTGAAAGCAATAGTCTATAATTAAGATAATTTTCGGAATCATTCAGTTAAACCAGTTAAACAATCGTGACTTTTGTCCTATCTTTCAATTTAAGCACAATGCCTTTTGGCTGATTGAGATGGTTTAAGTTATTTTGTTTTGTATATAGAGACGAGATAAATATTTCGCCTGTTTGCCTAGAAAATAGGGAATCAGAAGGATATAATATTCCCTTCCGGTCAGAAGATTTTCACACAATATTTCTGACTTCGATCTTGCGAGAAGAAAGGCTTCTATATGTTTATTAATCTTGAAACATGAGTTATTCCAATGATGTTTCATTAAATCTTCAGGCTTAATCTCATATCCATATCTTTGCCATCCATCGAAATATGTTTTTTTTGGTTTTACATCAGGGATCTTTACCAATTTCCAACAATCGAAGCAAATAGCCATTTTGCTATTATGAATATTGGGTCTCTGATAACCAATGGTAACTTCTCTCCCTTCATAGTTATCATAGTATGTCTTGGTTACTCCTTGCCCAGATGATCCGAAAAGGCAGAATACATAGTAATAGCTTTTATGGCCTTCAGTAATCAATGCTTGCAAAGCATCTTTTACACGAATAGCCCATTGCTGTGGAGTTTCATACGAACTAATAATAGATAAATTATCATATATTTTTTCGACCTCAACCATCTTTTCGAATTGACCAGGATAAAGAAAACCATAACGGTTTCTAATATACTCTATATCATATCCAGGACGGAGATTGATGGGTTTAGGCATAGATTTATTATAAATCTCATCTAAAATAATATCAATGAATTTACCAGGCCTAGATCTATTAACAATGTTTCCTGACATATTTAACGATTTATAGTGTTTTTAGTAACTCTTTAGTAACTTATACTAATGAATAACATGTTTCAAATTTATACGGATTTGTTGGTTAAGCAGTTTTAATGAATTATAGCGATTTTATTGATCTGTAGCTGATTTAGTGAGACTACACACTACTAAATACAAATTCATTTTATTCGATTGGGATTTATATATCGGGCTAAGCTAATTTTATATTTACATGCGGTTTGGCCATAGGCGCTGTGCATGTGATTAACAGGGATTAGCCAGATATGATGTATAACATAAAAATTTGTATCACCTTAGCTCCCAGACAGTTCCTGGCATTTCTTCGCAACCTTTCCGCAACTCAAATCACGAGTTGATCGGCCAGGGGGTATTCAGAATTTTTTCTGGATTAGTTTGCGGATCCCTCATGAATGCATGTATCATTTTATTTATTTGATAAGCGCTCATACTGCATTTACAGATACACATGAATAAAAAAAGGAGAAAGGTCTGATATGGGCAAAACTTTAATCATTTAACTGTTTCAACTGCATCATGCTTTACAAAATCACATATGCGAAACTACATTCGAAAGTCTATAAAAAACCAAAATACAAGAGTTGAGGGTGTCCTGGCACCAGGACAGTATCATGTGACTGTGGCGCAGTAATAACAGCTATTCCTCAAAATTTTTTATGATGTATGTGACCTCACTTCTCGTTAGATCCAAAAAACTATATGCAGTAAAAGACTTGATACGACGAATCTTATCTTCCCCTATCGCACTAAAGATGTCATAAATTTTTCTGGCTGTATCTGTTCTCTTGCGCACCATACCATTATTCACATTTTCTGGAAGCTTTTCTTTAACTTCTTTGTTAAGCTTTGTATGCGCTATTTGCGGAGGGTTGCTTTGCAAAAGTATAGCTAATCGCTCTGATAAGGCTTTTTCAAATTGAAAATAGAAACGAACTAAATCTCTATTAGTCTGATCCCCATTTTTTTCTGCATCATCAATCTCATAATATAATTTGTGGAATTGATTCGAAACTTTTCCCATGTCAGAATCTTTGGGAGGTGCACCAATTGATACTTCACTAGCTAGGCGGATGGACAGCTCACGAATCATAGTTTGCGCTTTTGTACCCCTAGTAGATTTACGCGAATCATCTTTTCTCTTCCTTTTCTTGAATGCTCCATCGAAAGTAGGTGAAATATAATATCCTTCTTTTTCAAGATCATCAATTGACAGGCATTTAGGACACAGCTTATTCTTATTACCAATGCATCCGAAATGAGCCTTATGTCTGCATGGTAGCAGTACGACTGGTGTAGATACGGAAGCATCAAGCCTTAATAGAGGCACTTTAGAGATTACTTCAGAACACTTATCGCAAGTTTCCTCAAACAGATCATCATCAAATTCAAAATCCTCTGAAGGCAATAATGGGTCGCTATCATCATTCTTGCCACATGAGCAATATAACGTTCCTCTCTTATCAGTTCCTCTTGCACAAGTCCGGTGGATCATATCACCACAGACATTTAAAATGAGGGATCTAGGCAGATCTTCTGTTAAAATAGGCTTATCACATTCTTGACATGCCCCATAATCTGGGATAGCTTCATTAGATTTAATCGACGAAAAGTCTGACTCTTCACGAAGAATATCCTCTGGGAGGTGTTTCAATATATGTAATGCAAGTAATTTTAGGGCTCTATTGCGTTCTGGTTGTACTTCGTAAATATCTCTGCTTTGGGTAGAGGTGTTTATGATACCCTCCATATTGTCAGATAGGTTGCTTTCTTGATTTGGTCCCTCCGTGGCCCTTTCCGTACTTTTTTCTCCACCACCACCATCATCATCATCATCATCATCATAAGCTAGGTCACCCATGTCGTCGTAATCCATAGTAAAAGTCGGGTTTACGCTCCCTTGATTTTCCATGGTAAAGTTTTTTGAAAAAAAGAGCGTAAGAATCTTATTATTTTCTCGCTATTTTATAATGTTGCAGGAGTAAGTTAATGCCGGATTTTCATTAGCAATTACGCACCGCATTTCGTCATCCATAATCCCCTTGCAAATCAATAAAAGAATGACGATAAGGAACAGGATTAGCATATACACCTCCCAAACCCCATATGCGAAATAATGATTGCTGACAAAATATCCATACCCGAATATTGTTTTGTAAGTATGATAGTAGCGTGGCGCGCTTGTCGCTGAGACATGACATGAGAAAATCAAGTCGAAAAAAAATAATGAGAATATATATGCCAATCCCACGTCACACAGCCCCTATTCTTCGGCAAGAATTTCTCCGGTATCACACTTGAAACATAACTTCTGCGGGATATAATCTAATTGTTTTAGCGAAATATTTTCTAAGGTTAAGGCAAGGGAATAATGGAAAGCATTCCCCTCCCGAAGAAATTTATTTCTGAGTCTGGACACGCATGTGTAGGATTCGGGCATTCGGCGCAGTAAACCCGTGCAATCAATCAAGAAAATTTATTATTTATACGATGCATTATATATGTAAAATTGATGCTATTTATATATGATATGCGGAGTACAAAAGCAAAAAACTACATCACAGTTACTAACATCACGTCATATAAACTAATTTTTATTGATATATATGATGGAAATAATAAGCAATATTACATTAAATTTTTTGATGCCATTAGAAATTAGAAGAGATATAGCAATTAGCAATAAAATCCAAATTACCCGAGGCTAGCAATTTAAAACAATCTTTCAAGCTGTTGAATTAATTGATCGTAGTCTAAGATTTCTATTGCGTTATAAATGCTATCCCATACATCCGAACGTCCACAACCCATCCAGAAATTTAGCATCATCTGTGCTCGACTCTTGATATCATCCTCTTTATCGAAAGGAATTCTATCTAATGATGGTCTATGAAGCATTAAATAGAATGAACGCACCAAACATGTCAAATCAACTCCTGGTCCATAAATAATATCATCATCATCATTGACTATTGATTGCAAGATGTTATCCGGCATACACTCCAACGCTCCAGCAAATGCGAAGTTATGATTCCCCTCCAATTTTATGCTATACCCCCAATCAATAATAACAATATTTCCTAATTGATCGCGAACAAGATTATACTTACGAAGATCTCTATGTACATAATTAAGTGAATGTACTTTTTCGAGTGTACTGATGATATCTTTAATATCTTTTTTTCGCAAATTACCAATTCTCTCACCAATTTGAGATATAACAAGAGCATCCACACTGTTAAAAAGGATTTTTGGAATATGAAGGGAATTAAGACTTGACAGATCATTCAATGCGGTATATTCACTTTCAAAACAAGGAAGATAATTTGCCTTTTTCGCAACTTTTACAGCTACGAGTGCATCATTATGTTTTCCTTCATAAACAACACTAGTTCTACCAACACCAATGGATCGAACCAGATTTACAGTATTATTGCCAAATTTCAGTGATGGTTCGACCCATCCCAAGATGTTCGGAGAGCTTTCCATAATTGTTACCAGTAACTTCCACCCAGTATTATCAGCATCGCGAGCACCACTGAACTCTAAAGACGCGGGTGTTATGTATTGATACGTGAACTGGGTGGTTGGATTTGAACGGGTATTTTGATCTACCCTATGCACTACATAGATATTAATTACAATACTATCTGTTAATACTACATATACAAAGGTTCGACGTGGCTGAAGTTGGAGTACTTTTTCGCCGAATGATATTGCCTGTCCTATTTGTGCGCTGTTAAAATTATCACTGCCTCGTTTTTTTATCTCACCAACGGCAACAACATTTAACATATTTAAATGTGAACCTTTTGAAATGAATAGGAAATCTGGTTTTCGAGTTCCTAGTGATAGTGAAGAATGCTTATCCACAACAATAAGCTTGTTTTTTATATTTGGAGATTTTTCTAGTTCCTTGCATTCGTTAATAAAGTATTGTTGTACTTCTTCTTCTCTTGGATCTGCATTTCTGTTAGGCGGATTTGTAAACCTTCCATTTCCACTTCTTTTGCTACTCGTGGTCCATTCGAGCGGAAACACAATATGTGTTCCTTTATCCATAACAGTTTTACCCTTATCAGTTCCCGTTAAATCAGTACCTAAACATAAATCGTTAATGGCGTTTGCAGAAATGATTGATGGATCAGATGAATAACATACCTGGTGAATAGATCGCTTCCTCTATAGCACGACGTACTTTATTAAAACCCTGCTCCATTTTAAAATCAAGACCTCTAACGATTTCCTCAACTACATCCTTCAGAGAATTTAAATTAGGAAAATCACCTTGTCCTGATACAAAAAAGTTTAACATTATTGGTTAGAAAATGAGAAAAGCGGGAATATCCGATATTATTGTGAAAGAAAAATCAAGCCATATCACGTTCACTCGCGTTGACCAAATTTATTACGATCACTTACCAGCACCGGGTTGCTCTACGATAACGCGAATGTGTTTTTTTGGGCGGGTTTGACGATAAGAAGCAGGAAAGAAAAGCACAAGAATAAGTAAGTATTCGGTATTATTGGTAAATATGACGCTTCAAAACCCAATAATGTTTTATACTTTGGTCTTTACCAGTTAATAATTCCCTTAGGTACATAAGCTTAATTTCATCATTTGGACTGCGTTTAAGGGATTTCTCTATCTCAGCTATTTCATTGGAGTTTTTGGTGAAATATTTAAATAATTTGGACACTTCAACTCCGGTGAGCTTCCCCTCATTATCAAGGACAGAAAGACGGTTAACTTCTTGATAAACATAGTCCCCTTCCGTTGAAGCCGAAGTAGAAGACATATTGCTATATTTATATTTTTTGTACAAATAATAATAGTTTCAGATACCTGTCACACCAGATTACAAAAATCATGCTTTACAATACTTCATATAAAAAAAGTGCTAAACTTTGAGATCGTGACGCGCGTCACAGTCTCACAGGTGATAAGTATTCACAATACTTTATTAATACATGCAAGCGATAAAATAAATACAAGCGCGAGTACATGATAAAGCTTCTATGCTACAATTGCGAATTTGAATTTGTTGCCTGAAGTGAAGCAAGTAAGACAATATTCCAACTTATCTCGGGAATACAACTTCGCTAATTCAGGATCATAAGGGAGCTGATTCCCATTTTCGCAGTACCATGAGCCATTTAATCCATAATTCCCATGTATTCCATCACAAATAGGACATGGTGAGCTCCACGGCTGAAGTGATGCAAAATTATAATTATCGATCCCCCTGTAGCTATTTCGGAATTTCAAGTATGTGAAGTGCTCTAAGACGGATTTGATAATTAATTCTGGATTGGGTCTGGCTTCGAAAGTGATGGGCCCTTTTTCTTCACATTGCTCAGGAAGAGATGATACTTTGTTTTCTGGCATCGAATTTATGACTTCCGATTCATGTACTTCTGTTAGTTGCCATGGCTCTTTTCCAGTTTGTTTTTTATATCTTTTGTATAATTTGGAACGAATCTTATCTGTCAAAATACTTGGTAACCCAGTTAATTTGGCATGCCAATCCAGATAATCGGCGGTTAGTATTTTATCAAACTCAGTCATTTTTCTTTTTATATGACTGCAAACAATTTAAATCCCTTTTCTCATATAGACCTATTCATTCGAAAAAAAAGATTAAAATTCCCAGATGATCCCAGAGGGATCAGACTATGCAACTATCTCAATTTCACGCTATTCACATTTAATAAAGTAAGATCCGGCTTTATACTCACCTTCTATTTCTTCATCATCATGACCTAATTTGCATAATGGGCAGATATAGTCTGATTTCGGCTCTGAGTTATATTCATCTTCGGGATCAGAGTCTTCTGATTCAGTATCACCTATAGCATAATTCTTTCCCGCATCATGACGGACGATCTTATGTCTCAATGCGATTCTGTTAAGCCGGTCAAGATTCTGGTGAGTTGCGTTTGGACCACCGTGGACTCTGCAAGCATGCTTACCTCCTATTTTTCTTAATGTTTTAGGTGTGATTTTATGAGGCTTCAGAAACTGGCTAAATGATCTAGTATTGCGCTTTCCATTTTCACTAAAGGTGGGATCACTCAACTTTCCAGCCTTTATAGCTTCTTGAATCCAGATAAGTAATGTTCTTACACGTTCTGGATCCTTCTCCATAGAAACGAATGGGCGAGGCTCTGGATTATCCTTATATTCACCTTTATTCTTTTTATATCCAGTATAATACCAAGAATAACCGTTTTCATACTATGCTGAACGATTTGAGAGATCAACTTCGTAGTGATTGATCTGGAGGCTGGATACTTCAGCGGGTCTCATACTCAGCATCACCATCACATCTGCGAGATCCTGCATAGAGGGATCTTTTGTGATATCAATATCTCGAAGCCTCTTAGATACACTTGCCATGGAGAAATATTTGGAGTCCTTAACCGATTCTCGGCTAAATTTTGATCGGTTCGTTTCTTCTGAATTTTGTTAGAAGCTGTAGTGACATTCGGATCTTTGGCATAAGTATCAATAAGTTCTTGAGCAACACCAACCTTCTGCAATTCATTACGAAATAGTGAGAGCTGTGAACAACCAGCAACAATTTCTTTATCGTCATTACTTTTTGGACCTATATCACGAGCATGAATGAAAATATCCCACTTATCACCAGTCTTAGCACAATATTTTGCTCTTTCCTCTATGGTGAGTTTTTCCTTTCTTTTATCTAGCACGAGAGCCTCTATTTGCTCTTTACTAAATGCACTTCTTTTTTTAGTACCCTTAGCAAGGGAAACTTTAACACACCTGCGGGCCATCCAATCCAGAAGTGAAGCATTAAGTTCAGGTGCATGTTCGCTCAATTGTTCTGGGGTCAACTTAGCGGATAAGTTATATTTTTCTAAGTGCTAGTCTAAGATGGCAGTATAATTATTATTTTTGGGTTGTCGGGTCTTTGGGACACTTGTTTTAGTAGACATAATAATAATAACTAGATTATAATTGCTACCTAGTTATATTATGTGGGGAAAAGTTCAATTCGAAAAATTATATCCCACCTGGCTGAAGGTGCCAATTATATCTCAGAAGTTATAGTTGCTGAGGATGTTACATTTTTGAATATCTATAATAAAAGTGAAGATGAAGTTTTGAGATTATTAATATCAAAATTACCTTGTATGGATCATCTAACCTGCCAATACATTAAGAAAGATGGTTCAAAATTACCTTGTATGGATCGTCTAACCTGCCAATACATTAAGAAAGATGGTTCAAAATTACCTCGTATAGGTCGTTTTATCTGCCAATACATCAAGAGAGATGGTTCGATTTGTAGAAAAGGGTGCTGGTGTCCTGAAGGATGTTCCAGACATTTTAATGCCTATCCTAGAACAATATGTCCTGTCTGTAAGCAGGAAACCTATTCCGATACTGGAATCTGTAGCACGTATGGTGAAATTTATGACCATGCCTGACGCGAAAGTAAAAAAACTAAAACAGAATCAATCCCTTTAGGATCATCTAATATGGTCAAGACTTAGCTGAATAACGATCTGAATTGAAGTATTATTTGTCTTGCTATATAGAATCAAAGAGTTCCTGAATATCGTTATCTGCTTTTGGCTTATATAGTGGAAGTTCTGGTGCACCTTTATTTCCGAAACCAAGACCATCATATGGCTGACGATTAATTTTGTATGAATATTCCCAAACTCGCTGTTCCTTAGAACCTATTTTTTTCCGACTACTTTTAACTATATAGCCACACCAATTATCAGCGATTGTATTGATTGTTTTTATGGCCGATATAAGATCAGGCTTTTCTTTTGCACGAGACTTAATACCAAAGAGTAATAAAGACTGACTTCGGATTTCTATAAATCTTTCACATGATTGAGCGAATGCTTCTGAAATAATATTGCCCGAAAGAATACACTTATCATCTATGCCGGTAAAGCCTAGTATTTGAAAGAGTTCCCTTATAACTTTCCAATGATTAGCTGAATATGATTTGTGCAAGTCCTCCGCTACTGATTTTTCAGAATTATATCTAGCTTTATAATGGCTATCTTCCCATTGCGCAATATCTTTGGCCTCTAACCTTTTCATTGCACTTTTCTCATCATAGCTTTGCTTTCGAAAGTGAGATAACCGCAAGAAATGTTTGAGGTTCAGGCGGACTGAAATGTTTTACAAACTTCTTATTGCAAAGATTATCCCAAATCTTATCATCCATATCTTTACCATAAATATTTCGCATATAGAAACGTTTAAGTGCCATAGTATTTGTGATAAAGCGTTCTTGGTCAAACTTAAAATTTTCAGCTTCTTCAAGATCAAGATTCCGGAAAGTAGCAACCGCATCAAAATCTGTTTCCTTGATAACTAATACTTCAACCCTAATCTCATTGCGGACTTTTTTACGGTTTCCTATAACACCTCGGCTCTCATCCATTTTTATTAGCTGAAGAGAAGCGCCGGTATTGGCTATAAGACTACAAAGCTTCTTAATAAAGTATCTCGCAGAAAAGCGTTTCTGATGCTCAACTTCAATGAATGTTATTACAGCAGGAGATTCGTCGATTTTATAAGAAATGACGTTGCTATCCCATTCACGATGACCCTTTATTGCTGTAGGTAAATTATTAGGCCGAGCATTAGCAAGTTCTGCCCGAATATTTTCACGACCTAGTGGGCGAAAAAGTTCATTAGAATTTTTTTGATAAAACACAGAAACAATACGACGAGGACAGTCACGAATTCGATAAAGTATTTGCGCAAGAGCCTCAACATGAACTGGAGTGGCGATGTTTGTAATAGCTATAACTATATCAAAATGGCCTGTAACCTCAAATGATATTCCCGCCTCCACTGTATTTGTGTAAGCTACACAGTCAAGCTCACCCCAAGCAACATCAATATTAGAGAAGTCTTTTTGTCTCTGCTTCCCATCCATATTCCCATAATATGCACGGGCTTTAACAGGAGAATTGTCAGATTTAAACAACTTAGATGCTTTTTCTACTAGCGCTCTACCCATCACTGCTCCAGTAGATACGAATGCTACACGTTTGCCCTGCCTCAAAAGATCATATCCTATTCGCATAGCTTCAGCTCCGCTATTTGGATCATAAATAAATTCAACTGTCTCGCCTATACGAGGCTGATACTTATTATCAACTATGCGAATATTTTCACCACGATAAGTCTGGAGAAAGATTAGTGTTGATGTATTTGCAAAAGCATTCATGGCCAAAACATGTCTCGCAGATCTTAGTACATCACGTATTGCATTCTCAGATTCTCATGCATTTGTATCGCTAGACATTTGACGCATAATGGCATTAGCTTCATCAAGAATAGCTACAAATGGACGGGCTGTAAACTCAATACGGAAAAGACTCTCATCCTGTACTATGATAATATCCTACTCATTTATAGATAAGTCTCCTTATATATTTTGATAATTGCAAATTTGAAAACCAGATGCTTTTAGCTCATCAAGTTTCGTTTTTAATTCATTACTAAGAGACTTTCGGTAAGAAACCCAGATATAACATGGCAAAGAAGAGAGATCATATACCTTATTTTTCAATGCCATAATAATCTCTCTTAATGTAGTGGTTTTCCATGTTCCTGGAGGAGAACGAATAAGTGTTGTCATTTTCTCAATACCTAAGAAATCAGGATATACTTCTGGAACATCCTTTAATTTTTCTACATTAATCATTATCTCTGATAATTCTACAAGGGGGCGCAGATTTGATATAGCATCACCTATTCTTTCGACTATTCCTCTCTTAGGTTTTGCAGAAATTT